ACGACGGTGCCAGGTGGACCTCTCTGGGGAGCGCATTCCATAGATGGGGCGCCACTGCAGAGAAAGCCCTCCTCCGGGTACTCACCCTCCTAGTATCATTCACGGAGGGTTCCCGGAGAAGGGCATCCGTTGCTGATCTCAAGGGGCGGGAGGGCATATATGGACGCAAGCGTTCCTTTAGATATCCAGGTCCCAAGCCGTTTAGGGCTTTATAGGTCATAACCAACACCTTGAATTGGGCCCGGACTTCAATCGGGAGCCAGTGGAGTTGATGGAGAACTGGGGTTATTTGAGAACAACGCCCAGTCCCCTTCAGCAGCCTAGCAGCTCTATTCTGCACCAATTGAAGTATCCGGACCAAGGGTAGCCCCACGCAGAGCGCATTACAGAAATCTAATCGGGAAGTTACCAGCGCGTGTGTCACTCTATCTCTAATTTCAAATCATAAAAATCATTGTCTTACACCTTTTCCCAATCTGTGGTCTTCTAAATATTTTTTAGGAATCAGTTTCCAACAATTCCTGACCATGATGGTAACTGAAGCCCAAAATATCTAGGGATGTACCAAATTGGGGAAGGGTGCTGTAGGCATTCTTGAAATTCAAAAGCACTGACCAAAGGCTTAGGGGTGATTTTATTGGTATTGGTTTTTATTCGCATTTCCCCCCAAGACATAGGGAGAAAGGCAGAGGGAAAAAATGGAATAAACATGATACTGACACATGATTCTGATGGACCAGTTTGGAAAACAAAGCACTCTAAGATTATGCATGGTGTGGAAAATGTGAATAGGAAGATATTCTCTCTCTCTCTTTCTTTCTCTCTCTCTCTCTCTCTCTCTCTCTCTCTCTCTTTCTCTTTCATAATACTAGAATCCAGGGTCATGACAACAATTGCTAGGAGATTCAGGGATAAAAAGGGCTTCACACAGCTCATAGCCACACTATGGAATTCACTTCCACAAGATGTAGTGATAGCCACCAGTTTGGTGGCTTTAGAATGGGATTGGACAAATTTACGGCAGAGAAGGACTATCAAGTACTGTTAGTCCTGGTTGGCTATATGCCTCCATTATCAGAACTGGCGTGCCTATGTACTTCAGTTGCTGGGAACATTGGTGGAAGGGTGCTATTGCACCCATGTCTGGTCTGCAGGTTCCTGTGGGCAGCTGGTTGGCTACTACTTGAGCAGAATGCTGGACTAGAAGGATCCTTGGTCAATCCAGCATGGCTCTTATGTTCTTAACATGAGAAATACATCTTCAGTCATATTCTACCTGTTCCGTACATGCCTCTTGGGAAAGATATAAGAATTGGGAAAAATAATATTGGCATTATCCCAAAAACAAAATGCCAGGTTAAACTCAGTCCCAAAGGATGGGATTATGGCTTTATTCAAGATGAGGATATGGTCCTCTCTGCATTTTACTCCTGGCCTTCAAAACAGAAAAGAGAAGGAAAGTAGCATTTCACATTTTTAATTAATTTTACCTTCCGTCATCCTGGCCTCCCAGTGAAACTAGGTAAAGGTCATTTGGCGAGAATGCAAGATTTTCAATTTTACCCTTGTGAAGTGACAGCCGAGCTAACATCTCCCTTTTCTTGTAATTCCATAAAATGATATCAGCCTAGGACACAGAAAAAGAAAGATCAGCATAACAGCACTTTGGTCTGCTGTTTGTGATGTGAAAGATGTTCAGAACAAGCAGTTTAAAGAGGTCATAAACAAGTCCTCCTTACAATCCATTAGCACAGGCTTCCTTTGAATCAGCGACACTCAGCATCTCTAAGACACAGAGCTGCTTGAATCAGTTCCTCAAGTGGGAGAACTTACACAAACAAGGCCCATTTCAGAGTCAAATGGCAGCCTCAAGCACAAATCACCCAAGGCAAACGAGCTAAAATATGAAGAGCCTGATGTTATTAAAGCAACACAGAACTACTGGCCGCCTGTCTAGGTGTGCACATAGTAATTAAGTATTGCTGACTTCCGTATAAGGAAATACAAAAACCTCTGAGTGATATGCTTGGAACAGCTTGCACACTATGCTGTAAAGTAGTTCAGAAATATAGCATTCATGCCACCTAGTCCCTTTCTGTTTTAAATCAGTGTTGCTGTATTCAACACTTACGCTTTCTCTCCAGTCCACACTTTAAAGTGAATATTTGAATGTTTAACTTTATCCTAGACTATCTTAATTCGTGCTTGACAATTAAAATTTCAGCCGGAAATCCAACATTAGGCTAACTGATCCTATCAATTATCTTGATGTAGGCAAATACAACAGGGCAGCTCACAGGTATTATTCATAGGTGTGTTATCACAGGACCCAAATCCACACAATATTTCAGGGTCCTTCTTTCTCTAGGTCTCTACTGCATCTACTGGAATCAATTTTTTAAAGGGTCTTTATCCACCTTGAAGCCCATGAATGTGATCTGACCAGAAGCCACATAGGATCCACTTGGAGAAACTGTGACACAGGAGACATTGTTGGTGTGACCATGTAAAAAATCTTGAGAATGAGTATTTATGCCTTGAATGATGACTGTACAGCCCAAAGGGTAGATGAGGTGCTCCCGATCTGGGTGGCAGATTAGGCCACAGTGAACATGCCCTTCAAATAAAAGGAGGATGGGAAAGAGAAATGTCAGATGTGCAATCAAGGAAAGACTATGTGGCACTCTGGGTTACAGAGAGTAGCATTGTGGAGAGGGAAGTTTCTTAGGGCACAATCCTATGCAAGTTTAGACAGAAAAAAGGGGGCTTGCTGGGGGTTGTAGGCCTTTCTTCTGCTTAAATCTGCATAAGTGCCTTTAGATACTTTCGTTTCCCAAATGACAGGTGGTCACCAAACCCTCTAAGTATAGGAAATTCATTTATGCTGTTCCTCATTGCTCAGCTTACTGACTCTACTGTACTTCCTGGTTTGATCTGCATTTTGCAATCCACAAGTGTTTATTATCCCTGTCACTCAGATTCTCTCCAAATTGCTTATTCCACTTTTTTTTTCTATGCATACATTAGAGAATATGTTGAACTTAATATTTAGCTGAACCGGATTAAAATTATTTACATTAAAATTAATTAAAATATTGATTTAAGGCAGAACATTGTGCTCAGGCCTTTTTTGATCCAAACAGATTTGCTCCCAGTCCACTCTACCTATTGGAAGAGATATGGGAGATAGAAGGATTCAGTTCTCAGTTGCATTAAACACTGAACCTGATTTTTTCTCCCTTTTAACTGTAAGTCAATTGAAGCATCTGGGAGAATGTCAAGAGAACTCCATTGAATGGAGACACTAAAACCTTCTCCTCCAAGCCTGGGTATCTTCTAAATCAAAAGTCACAAGTGCTTCTGACTTAGTCTTAAGTTTTTATGTTCTCATTAGATCTTTCAACATGCAAGTACCCACTTTCCAGAAGAGACATCCAGTCCCGGATACAGATTTCCCATGGTTGCCTTCCATGGAAACTCCAGCAGTTACCAGAGAGCTTCAGAAAGGACCAGCAAGTGATAGGGGAGGCTGTTCTGAATGTCTTGTCCTAACAGAAGACTTAGAGAGAAGCCTTCAGAGAGCCTGTGATTTACTAGCCTGACAACCATATCCCTCCAAATCAAACCAAACAACTGCTGGTCTCTCCAAATTCTCCAAATCAGTTCAATGGATACTATATCATACCACCCCCAGACTTAATGGCTCCACTGGACTTTAAACAGGGTTCACCAAGGTTAGGCTCTGGGACATCATGAATATATTTATTTGTCTGTCTGTCTGATTTATAGCCTGTCTTTGCTTTGGCATACTCAAGACAACTGACAAAAATTGCCACTTCACAAAACAATTACAGTCAGTCAGTGTAAAATCATAGTAAATCATCAATCAGACTCATCATTCGAGAAATCATTCTTGACTGAAATCGAGAGGTGGCTTTGACCTCTCCTCTGAGTCAGTTTAAGCATGAAAGTTCTGCACTGGTAGCAGAGGCAGCAGGAGCGAAGGAAGCTGGAAGGTTGGTTTACACTATTTCGAAGGGAAGCACCCGTCCTTTCTACGGCATCGTTTGAACTCGCAGCTCAATGGCAGAAGATATGAACCACGAAGAAGGTGCTCCAGGGCAAGGACAGAGTTCATTCGTTTTACACTGCACAACTATAAACGGCTTTCTTCAGCTAGCGTTAGGTCCCAAGGCGTGTCTTGCAAGGCACCTCGAACCCAGGGAGGATCTTTCTTTCTTTCTTTTCCAGTGAGTAACGACTCTCCGGGCTGCCGTCACCGTTACTAGCCCCCACACACAGACCCAAACGCCCGGCACCGCCCGCCTGCTCCCTCCACTCCCAGTACCATTGAAGCCGATTATCGCATCCAGGTGCAGGCCAGCCAAGGCGTCTCCATCTGTGCCCCCCACAAGCTCGCTCTCCTCAGCCGGCAAAGCAGCCATAGCGCCCCACACTTAGCACCTCGCAAGCCGGCTGTGTACGTCCGTTGCTAAGGAGACCGCGCAGGCGCACCGCAGGCTCTTCCCCTCCCTCTTCGCTAACTGCGCGTGCGTACTAACGCCACCTGGAGCCCGGCGGGTGTGGCTTGGGCGCTCTGTATGTGCTTCGGCTGCCCCAGCTCATGAAGGGTATGTAAGTCCGCTGAACTGGCAGTGGTGTCTTAGGGTAGATATCAGAGGGACAGCTTTAATCAGTCTTCCCCACCCTGCTGCTCTCCGTAGGGGTTAGACTACGACTTCAGTCATGCCCAACGGAGGGCACTAGAACAGCCTTTTAAGTATCCCGACCTGTTTCTGATCTGCGTGCATACGCAGGTTTCTCCTGCACACAGGAAAATATAGTGGGAACTTTTGAATGATGTACGTGCTACATCCCTTCCAAGCAGACCTGACGCAGGCATATAGAGGCGTTCATCTAAGGATGGGGGGGGCGCCCTTCCAATATTGTTGGACTACGATTTCTATTGTCCTTAGCCGGCAAAACCAGTAGTGAAGGATCTTAGAAGTCTTAGATTGAGACATCTGGAGGGCTATAAGTCGGCCATCGTTGGTCTACAAAAGGGGTGGGGGAAAAGCAGGGAACTGGACTGAATGGCCTTCAGTGCCACCTGCAGTCCAACAACAGAGCCAGTGTGGTGTAGTGGTTAAGAGCGTGAGACAGGAACTCAGGCGATCTGGGTTCTAGTCCCTGCTCAGCTGTGGAGCCAGCCGGCTGACTGGGCAGCCACAGACTCAAAGCCCAGCCTACCTCACAGGGTAGTTGCAGGGATAAGATTGAGAGCAGGGGGAAGAGAATGATGTAAGCCACGTTGCATTATTTAAAAAAAGAAAAAACTGGGATAGAAAACTTATAGAATTAATAAAGTAACCAGCCAGTTATGAAAGACAGTAACAGTGAAAAACATCCTCAGGAAACATTAGTTTTAAAAAACGCTATTTACATCATTTTGAAAGGTTGTCATGGTTACTCTTTTTAAAATGCCACAAAATAAGCATATATTCAGGTGCTCCTGAGTGCATATGCATGGTCTGAATTACGGGACAGATTTTTCTATTCCCTAACTATTCTGTATGTCTGGGCAGTACAGTAACATCTGTTGACCTGGGAAGCACCCAGAGATACAGCAGTGCTCAGTCATGCTCCATATCACCTTCCCAAAACAAAAGTCTCTAATGCATGGCCATAAAAAGATGTTGATCAGCTCTGCACAAAGGGAGACTTACAGTACAATAGCCTCTTTGAGTTCAGTGCAACTTATTCCAAAATAAGTCTGTATAATTCTGTAGTACATTCCCTCTCCTGCTAAACTAAGATTTGAAGATTTAGGAATCTAATGTCCACCCTCCAAGGCAGAAGCCATTGGTCCATTCAGTCCATTGACAAATATTTTTGAGATGTTGCATAAATGAACAAAGCTGATAATGAGCTTCTGTTTCTGTTGCAGCTTGTCTTTCAAGGACCCCCCCCCCCCCCCGCTGGGTCTGCTGCTTCTCCTAAGGCAGCCTTCCAGATGCTTTGAATTCCCACACTTAGCAACCTGAACCAGTATGTCCAGTGGTGACAAATTGTCAAATGCTATCCTAAAGGTATAAAAGCAACAAAGAGTGTGGCATGCCTTCCTCCACTGGTCAAAAAAGGCTTAGGAGGGATGGCTTATTTCCAAGAAGTTGCTACCCCATAGATTCCCAGGTTGGAGGGACTGCCTCCAGACTATGTAGCTCTGCTATCTTTTCCTCCTTAAGGGATTTTTTTCTTGGAAAGAAAATAAAAGAAGTGGTGGAAAATACAGTGTTACATGAACGTTACACGAGGAATTCAGTATCTTCCAGATCCCTGTTAAATTCCATGAATAAAGCAGGGGGATTGCATAGTAACAACCTCATCTGAAAGCACCCCAGGTTTTCATTTTCATAGGTGCCAGGCCTCTTAAGATCCCATAGACATCAGCACACCAGTCAGCATTATCCAGTATTTATTGTGGTAGTGGAAGGAGAGCAAGAAAGAGCAATGAGAACATATTAGAATGCCATGGATCATGGGAACCTCAATCCTGAAGTCCTATAAACTAAATTGGGCAACTGCCTGTTGGGGATTACATGAGTGGAGCTGGCTGGAGCCAGGGATCAGATTAGATGGCCTGGGAGACCCCTTCTGACTTGCTTTTCCCCTGTGTTTCCTATGTTTCTAAATCCTAATTAGAATCAGGCCCCAAACTGTCCTGTCCTGGAAAAGCTCTCATGTTAGCTAACCCATGTAGCAGAACACCTAACTCACTGAATTTCTGGGTTGGGAAAACACTCCAATGCCAAACAACTCAAGAACCCCTGTTCCCCTCTGGCTGTAGCTAGGAGCACTGAGATTATGTCTGCTTCTTAGGCTTGCCATACCAATCAAGCTGCAAATGGACAAAACTATTCAAGCTGTTGCTTTCTCCATATTTTAGGATTCTGTTGAAAGAGTAATGCCAGAATAAAATATTTATAGAAACTGCTAACAAATTCACCCAGGGCGTCACTAAGGGGAGGCTCAAACGTGGCAAGGCTCTTAGCTGGACTTGGTGGTTCATTGACAAGAGTACATTTTGGGCACTTTTTCCTTTCACACAGAGCAAAGCCATCATTTTAATAAACTAAAATATCTTGAGTAACCTGTTTCCCTTCGTTTTCTCTCTTCCACTTGACTTGTCTTTCTTCCTCCCAGCTACAGTGGGAAAGAGAATCCTGCTTTTGATCGGGGCTGTCCTACTTTCAGGCAAACTGCCACTTTCTGCTTTTCCTAAGGTAGGACAGGCAGCCAATTATGCTATCTTTGGCCATGGCTGGTGTGTGTGCCCTACTTTTATGAGGCATTGGTACCTGTTCCAGTGAAAGGAACACATTCTCATCAGGGTTCTCTATGTGCTTTGTGGAGATTGAACAGGCTATATCTTCCCTGGATGTGCCTTTGAAGCCTTGTTAATGAGTTGATGTGTTGCTCTATTCATGGAGCTTAGAGAACGCCTTAGAGAAACTCCTTAAGTACCAGTCACTGTTTCTCTGGTTTTGCTCCCTTGTATGCAAAATATGAACAAGGAACCATTCTCTTTGCAGCAGAGCGAGTTGTTTTGAAGTGCAGTGGACATAAGCAAAGCTTTTGCTTTTGTGCATGGTTTGTTTGTCAGAATGGATACATATCTTGAAAAAAAGAAAGAAAGAGCACCAAGAACCAGCACCTAATGGTAACTGAAGGATATAGGCTGTCAGAATTGCTGGCAAAATATAAGCTCTAGCAGGGTATTCAGTACATGCTTTATATTTGATGTAGGATGCTGTGTTTTTTTTCCTGTCCTCTATGAAGCTGTTCCTTTAGGAAGCAGCTACTTTCACATCAGTGCAGCACTGTTGATTTTTTACATGCACAAAGAAGACAATAAATTAAAAGGCTAGGTTTTTAAGCCAATTTCAACTTTCCCTGCTCAGACATCCAGAGTTTTGTATCATTTTATATTGTGTCTATGGCAGGTTCATGTTGTGATACAACTGTGTATTATGTTGGTGATGGTCATATGGGGAATTCTGAATCAGAGATCAGTGTCTAATCATCCCAAACCTCAACACATGCGGTACTGCTTAGCATCGTTCACAGTGAACTTTTCAATCAGAAGAAAGGGAAGAGTCCTGCATAGCTTAGAACGGACTAATTTGAGGATTTGTTCTAACTTCTGCAGGGTGGCAGGACCAGCCTCAAGCGCTAGCATGGTAGTTCACCTGTTGAGAGCCATAGGCCAGGAGCCCACCACTGACCTAGCAACCCTTGGCCTTGCACATCTTCCTTTCCTTTGCGTTTGCTTTTTTACTTGCCCTTTCTAGGGTTTTGTTAGTCTGAGCAGCGATAAGGAAAAAGAGCAGCAACCTCCACTTTTGTGCCGTTAAGGCCCAGAGGAAGGAAACAAGCAAAGAGGGTGTGGTGACAGTGGCAAGGAAGTGAACCTACTTAGGGTAGGGATTCTCTTGAAGCTCTTGCCCAAGATCTCCCCAAAATCTGGAGCTGACATTATCCGGCTTCTTTAACTGTCCCAGTTGTTTCTCCAGTCTTGTTGAGCTCATTTCAAGCTCAATTACATATTTACATCCTAACACTGATTGTGCTCTAAAATGGTTAGGGTTGCCATAATGATTTAACAAAGAAACTTGAAGCTGCGTTTCTATGAGCAGGGATTTGAATATGCATTTCCCATTCGCCCAGTGCAATGTTCGGGCTAGGATACCACACCATAAAGAGCAGTGTGTTTAAGCTCAAGCACAGGCAGGGATGCTACAAGTTGGCTTCCACTTTTAAAGTTCTGCTGCCTCTTCTAGATGATTTCATAAAAAAAAACTTTACTGCTCATCAACAGTTCTTGAGCTTTAGGATATGCTTCCCTCCTTTGGGGGATTGAAATGTCACCTTTGAGGCATTGTCTGTTATACAGGAGATACTATATTTAGGTCCAGGATATGCACAGTTGACCTATGTAGACTTGCTCCCCAAGTAGAAGAATTTGACAGTTACCACCTTAGATGACAGGCTGCCTTTCTTCAGCTCATATGATCCCTGAATTTTATACATGCCAATTTCTTAGGCTAACATGGGGAAATGGGGATGTCTGCAAGAATAGAAACTACTGTACCTGTCTTTTCCAGGAAGCTTCCTTCACTTCTAATCCTGTACAAAGTGTTAAACCACAAGATTTGTAAAATGTTTGTTGACCAAATGTGCACTACCTTTGTTTTAGAGGCAGTTTTCCTGTCAAAACCAGTTATGGGGAACATCGGCAGGGAGGTGCTGTTGCCCTCATGTCCTGCCTGTAGGCTTTGCATGTGTACTTTCTTGGCCACTGTGGGAAAGAAGGCTGGATTAGACAGACCTTTGTTCTAATCTAGCGTTATGGCTCTTGTTATGTTCTTATTAGCATACTGAAGAAGTAGAAGATGAAGGTGGCTGCATCTTTCTGTCTGTTGCACAGGCCCTTGGATTTATGCTAAGACAGGTTTGATGCAGACCTTTAATAGGTCTACTGAATAAAGGGAGGAAAACCCGTTTACTTACCACCTGCTGGATAGAGCACTCTTCAGTATAACAGTCTTGTGGACTTTTCTGTCATTCATTTGGGGCATCCACAAGAGGGTCAGGATGCCAATTCTGCTGCTAGTCAGTGATCTTGAAGTAGTTAATCTGTCCCCTAGAGAATGTACCACAACCCACCAGCTCCTAGCCATTAATTAAATAGTTTTGGAACTCTATTCCTGTTGAATATTCAGTACTATCCTACTATGTTCCTTTTTATATATTGTAAGCCACCTAGGACGGCCTCAACAGTTATAGGTGGCCTATAAATACACGTATAAATAAATATAAATAAATAAATAAATAATTCAGAACTAGATAATTTTATTTTTAAAGTATTTGGGGTGCATCCGGGCAATGTTAGGATGTTTTTTTCTTCAGAAACATACTAACTCAACAGATCTTGTGGCTGATGCAGGTAGTTGAAAGATCCATATAAACAGTTTAGGGAACAATTAGACAACATTAGAGCAGCCATAGGATATTTTGGGTTCCTGGATCTGGGGCTGGAGTCGGCATCATAGCTCACAGTCCCTGCCCATTGCCACCAATATGGAAAGTGCCATGCCAGCTGTCTCACCAAGTTGGAGGATGCAATCTTGGAGAGGGGAAGGGGTGGGGTATCCTGGTAAGTGGGAAGGGGGAGAGATGAGAGAGGCCAAGATCTGAGCTATGGTGATGCCTCTCCAATCTTCTTCCTTCCCCCTCTGATACACTTCAGCTAGACAAGCAAACAAGCCCATCTAGAGAAATAGGTTGGATGAGGGGACAGGGAGGTGAACATTGCCTCAGCTGCTGCTCATGCTCTGCACAGAGTGACCATAAGCCTCTGTGCTTACCGGCTTCTGGGAATTGTGATAGGATTGCACTCTTAGTCCAGGAATGTACAGTAGCATCAGGTGACATCACAGGCCCTTCAGGGTGCAACCTTCATTGCTCATAAGCCTCCAAACTTGAAGGTTTATGAGCGTCCTTTGCAGAGCAGAGTGGGGGACACAGCAGTAGCAGTTTCCTTCTCCTTGCTTCTTCTGCTCTGATGGCTAGTTTCAGCTGTCTAGTTGGGACACTTCAGATGGGAAGGCGGCCCCAGTCTCTTCCCCTCTCTGCCTCTAGAACACAGCTCTTTGAGGTACACTTTTCTTACCATGGACAAGTCTGGGATTCAGTTCTTTATGTGCCAAGTGCAGTACACGAGGATCCAAGCATGTGTCCAAGGCACCAAGATTGGAACCCTGTTTCTGGCCTTGTTTGGTTTTAAACAGGATGCATTCAAGTCATCCAATAATGTACAGCCTTCCCTAACCAAATACATTTATTACTAGGTAGCACATTTTGTATAAGTTTAAAGATTTGAAAGGAATTATATTAGATAAGATTCTCCATTGTTGTTGTTGCTACTCTTATAAACAAAATTGATTTGCTTCATTTATGTAAGATTTGGATAGTTAGTTAAGTTCAAAATTTTAAAATGGTTTAAGTTACAGTCTCCTAGTAGAGCAGTCCCCAACTCTTTTGGCACCAGGGACCGGTTTCATGGAGGACAATTTTTCCACCGACCCAGGAGGGGAGGGGATGATTTCGGGATGATTCAAGAGCTTTACATTCATTGTGCACTTCATTTCTATTATTATTACATTGTAATATATAATGAAATAATTATACAACTCACCATAATCCAGGATCAGCGGGCGCCTCCCTCCAACATGCAGCCCAGCCCTTACCTGCTTCCCGATTCCCTCGCCGCTTGCACGTGCCCTCCCCAGCTTCTCCATGCCACTTGCTGCCCAGCATCGCTGCTGCCGTCGCCACCCCTCCCTCCTCCTTTTGGAACCCAAAACCCAAAAGGACCCGAATGATCATCTGTATTTGCAGCCGCTCCCCAGCAGTGATGCTAGTGCTGGGAAGAGGCTGCAAATACAGAGGAAGCTTTGCTCACTCGCCTGCCTCTCACCTCCTGCTGCGTGGCCCAGTTCCTAACAAGCAACGGACTGGTATCGGTCCATGGTCCAGGGCTGAGACCCCTATCCTAGTAGATGCAGGAAGTAGTTACAACACACACACCAATCTTCCATAATATCTTAAATGTGACTTCTTTCTTTTGGGTGCCAATGTATTATTTTTACCTATCAGTCTTATTTTACCTATCAGTATTTCTACAACATTCTTCTACCCTGCAGTTTTGGCTCTTAGTTCTGGTATATCCCTGTAAGAGATATTGCTTATCACTGTTCTTTCATATATGTTTATCCCAAATCTGTTTCTTTCTCTCTGGTTAACCATTGTGCTAGGTTTCCCTCCCAAATCACTTATGATGGAACATCTGTATTTTTGTTTGCCATTTGATCACAATCTCCCATTTGTAAAATATACTGTATATGGTCTTACTTATGACCTGTTCCTTATTTTCATTCTATATTGCCATAGCCTTTGAGAGAATGTCATCTTGGGGTATATTGATCAATTTTCTGTTGAGTACATAGAAAAAAAGCACAAGAAAAAGAGCTACAATTAGGAAAACAGATATAGACGCGGAACATATCTTCCAGAAGAGTAGCAATATGTGTCTCATGAAGAAAAACTCAAGTATAGTAGCAGTTTAAAGACTAGCTGAATTTCTATGGAATAAACTTTTGTGGACTAGAGTCCACTTCATCAAATGCATGACGTGTTATCTTCATTCTTTATCTTGTCATCCCAAGAAGCACCATCTATCCATTAAGACTCTTGAATCCATTCAGTGTCATGTTTCTCAATGCTATCAACATATTTTGCGCTTTAACTTTACTGGCGATGTGTGTGGTGCTACAGTGCTTTGAATACCAATGATGTTTGCTGGTGTCTGGTGGCAACCGTTCTACCATTCCCTTTGCTGTAAATATACATCTTTGATGACAATGAGAACAACACTGCAGCAATGTTTATTCATCAGAGCAGACAGGAATGATACCGAAATGGGAAATGATTGGCAGCCCTGAAAGCTAAATACAATTTTATATTCTTTCATCTTTAGAAGAGATGAATTGGAAAGGCACGCTTCTGTGTTCTTATCCCTAATGTAAAAGCATTCAGTCTTTCAGAGGAAAGTCCCATTATTTCTGTCTTTTCTTTCCCTCCTTTTATAGGGCAGTTCCTTTAGTGACATTTCCATATATATCTCCCTCTCTCCAGCAGGACGCCCAGAGGGTCTGTAGAAGTGGAAAAAGCACTTCATCTTGAGAGGAGCCCAGTTGCCAGATGTCTCTTGCTATTCTCTTGAAGGGGTATGGTGGCTCCAGGGTATTCTACAATCCTGTTTTGACCACAGGGACAAGCTGCTTGTCTGCCTGAGTCTTTAGCACAGATGCAGAACTACACAGGTGTGCAGAAAAAGTGCTAGTGAATGTAATAGTAATGTTGCATCTAATACTCCAGTGCCATATTTTAAAAGACATGCAGAAATGAATGGCCAAGAAAACAATCGTAGCAACTTTCTTTGCTGGCAAAAACCACCACACTCACAAGCCATTAGCACAATTACATTCTCATAGCATATGATGATTTTAAAGATAGTTGTTCTGCTCAATAGGATTCTGACTTGTGGGGCTAGAAAGGAAGATGCAGACTGAAAAGCACTGTAATGAACTTATATACAAGGACCAGCTACAGTTGGGATGAGGATTCTGCAAAGTTTGTAAGATAACCCAAAAATAACAACCATCAAGAATTAAATAAAGCAACTGCCAAACATTAGATCAGCCTTCCCAACTTGGCACCATCCAGGTGTGCTGGAATGCAATTTCCATTATCTTCAGCCAGTTATGGAGGTTAGGAGTCATGGTTACAACTGGAAGGCTGTATTTGATGCTGGATTTGTTTTAAGTAATATATGAAGACTTCACTCTTCTTGATGGTCTTTAGACATTACCCTTCCCTTGTTGTATAGGGTAACAAAAATAAAAACTGACAAGGTTGTATTCTAGCATATTATATGAAATGAATTCATATGTTCCTCTTGTGGAAACTTTCTTAAAAAATCAGGATCTGTCATCTGATAGCTTTTCTATTTTAATGTTATTGATCATAACAGCATTAAAATACTATGTATCTCAAAAGGTTAAAAAGATGGATAAATACATCATACATGTGCAAATAAAGTATTAGGATATTTGTTTTTCATTGCTTTATAAATACACTCAATTTCTTTAGTTTTATAAGAGAACTATTATAATACATGTGTTTTTCTAGAAAAGATAGCATCTGTATCTGACCACAATCAGATACAGAAAGAATTCTTGGTATTTCCTCTGGGGTGATATATTCTGACCTACAACTCCCATCATCCCTCACCTTTGGCTATGTTGTCATAGGACTAATAATGGGCATTGTAGGCCAAAACATCTGGAGAAACACAAGTTGCCCAATCTTGGTCTAATTGAAGCAAACATGCATGCGACTGATGAAAAGTCCGTATCTTTTCCCAAAGTGAAGCCTTTCAAACATCCAAATACAATAGTCACAGGGTTAAATGGTACATCACACTGTCTAATATTTTTATTATCCCCCAAAGAAGATTATATGAATAGGCTAAATCCCCAAGATAATTTAAAGATTTTTTCCTGATGCTTGATGTTTCCAGTTGTCGGTCAAAATTTACTGTTTTTCATTTCACTGCAGTTGTCACATGTTCTGTGGAGAGGAGTCACAGTCGGAAATATTTAATGATATGGGGGGAACTGTGATCAGGAGTTTTGAAAACCCCAGACTTCTAAGAGCTGCACCTGGAAGTTTTCTTGGCAAAGAGGAGGGTTGTCAAATGTTTCACAGTGTTCTGTTCTCCCACGATACAGATTATCATCAATAAACAGAGCCTGGCCTCCTCCACCACCTGCAGGAAATTAACAAGGGTTGTCAAGGACTGTCACTAGTTATGCTATCAAACACAATTTCAGATAATGCCCGGTGCTGCATGGTCGCTTGTCTTAAGTTATACCTAAAGGCACTGCTGACTCTTGATTGCAGGCGAACAACCCATGCAGAAGTAGGTAACCAAACCTTCTGTATTTTATGATAATGTTGGTGATTTGTAAAATTGTGAGATAAGTGCCTCCTTTTCCTCCATAATGAAGCCTCCAACCAGTACTTTGTGAAACTGAGAATACATAGTAACAACCATCCAAGGCATTGTCTAAAGATAAATAAAATGGTGGAAGGCAGGGACAGAATTAATCTTGCCTTTATGGAGATGAAGTGTGTCCTGTCAACAGTGACTGCAAGATATTACAAACTAAGCCTTTAAACTTGGGAGATGTTTGTGTGTGTCATATCCAAAAGTATTTTGGATATTTTCACAGTTAACATAGCTATGAACTGTTTCTTCCTAGTGGCTGCCATCCGAAGAATACTGTCCTCTGGCTGCATTTGCTTCTAAAGAGTTTGCCAGTGGCACAGCTCCACTGCATTGTAAATGAGCACAATGATCCCACTTTAGATCATGAGCAGTAGGTGTATTGCTGCATGCAAGCAGTCAGGAGTGATTATAGAGATGCTGCTAAGATTGCTGGCCGATTTTCTTAGTGCTGCCTTGCAAAAGACTGTGTTTGGTGTCACTCGTGCCCCATGAATCCTCTCACAGATTCTGCTTGTACAAGAGGGACCATGCAGTGTCCTCTCCCTCACTAGCAGAAGTGCTTCTGTTGAGTTTTCCTTTTAGCTGCCTAGACAGCAGAGTCTTCCTCCAGGACATGATAAACTGTTAGAGGCTTGAGCGAGTCAATCTGACCACTTCAGCTGGCATTTCCCAATTTTATTTATTTATTTATTTATTTATTTATTTATTTATTTATTTATTAAAACATTGACAATCACTCTGGAGAGCAGAAAGCATGCTCAGTCTTCCCTGTCCCCTTCTGAGTCCTCCCTGCCCTTTTACTTATAATTCACAAATTTAAATACTTTTCTATCCCGTATTAGTTATCACTCCCTCTAATTCAGAACTCACTTGGATTGTGTGAACGGCACAGACCAGAGTCAGTCTAGTTCTGTACTATCTGTTCTCACTAGCAGTGCCTGTCCTAGGTCATGCCAATTCCATGTAGGCAAAATCCTTCATGGATTTTCTTTTCCATTAGCAGGGCAGAGCTGGAATGAACCACAAGAAGTTTGAGAGGAACATCTAAATGGAATTTTCTGAAAGACATGACCATATGGACAACTTCAAGGGATTTAACTCTTAAATTATAAATTTTACGGCTATCAAAGTAGCTGAAGAGGCTGTTAAGTAAATGTGTAGTCATTGAGGTGGAATACTGATACTTTGGAGGATATCTTATTATAAAAATACTGACCTGATTACAGTTTGGCGACATCAGAAAGTTAACACAATTAGAAGTAGAGTAAAGGCTATTTTATGGTCTTTCTGCTGTGGAACTTTGTTGTTTACTTCTACTCGACTCAACTGTGCTTCCCCACCTCCAGTGCCCATATTCTATGATTTACTTTGGTTAGCCATGAAGTGTACTATATTCCAACAATATTTTAATAACTTTTAATATTGTATTATATATGTTTTTAATCTGCAGCCAGGGTGGATCTGAAATTCATTTGCATTATGTTTTATATTCTTATTTATTTATGTAAACCGTCCTGAGGCCTTTGCGACAGGACGGCATATAAATATTCTAAATAAATAAATAAATAAATAAATACTGTGGTTATCAGTGCTCTGAGGTAGATGGGTCAAGTTTAGGTTATTTACAGGAAGAAATCCTTTTCTCCTATTTCTAATGCACTGCAAAGGGTTGTAGGTTCAAGGCAGTGAATTGCTGTCATTCCTTGGGAAGTAAAGAGAGGCCAATCTAATGAAACAAGGAGAGTTCTTGCAGCTTCTAGTGGCTGGCCGTCTGTAAGAGTAGGTGTTACTTATGTCGGAATTGCAGGAAACTTGAATTACAATGGAGCTGGGCTGCCTGGAGTGTTTTGGGCACTTTAGGATCTCTTACAGAAGCAATAATTTTATAGGAGCAAAATTACCTATGATAATTCCTTCCTGAGTTCCAGACATAAACATGGAGGCTGTTTTGGAAGGCAACTTGAAATGCCTAGTTGCCAGGAATGGAGACAGGCGGTATCTGATCATATCTAACTTTGGTACGGTGAGGTGGTTTGAGCTGGTTGTTGTCCGACTCTCTAACGCAAAAGGAGATGGAGAGCGCTGGCGTGGGGAACGAGGCAGAGCTTTGGCCTGCTCTGGCTTCTTGATGAAAACCCACTCGTACCGTTCCATCGCAGGGTGCACCTTTCAACACAAAAGATGGTGACAGTCAGGTAGAACCTTGCCTCTGCTGTTCTGTGTGATCTGCTGGGACAGCACTGAGGCATACCCCTTGGATGGAAATGGTTTGACTGCGTTCCTGGGGGCCTTGATGTGAACACAGGGCAGGGTATTGTGGCATCTCAAAGTCGGATAAATGTATTGTGGACTCAGCTTTCATCCTCATCAGAAGCATGAAATGTTTTGTCAAATCACAAATGTAGATATACATGGGATGTGGGGAGCAGTGTGGTAATGGTGGTAGGAGTAAGTAACAGCCAGTCCCACACAGGGGGCAACGGAATTGCCTGGCTCTCTGGCTGGCATAGGTGACTAAGCAGCTTTGCTGCATCCAGGAAGGTCTACAGGTCAGATACTAAGTTGTACTTTTAACCTTAGGTTCCAGAATCAGTCAGTTTGATAATTGCTATGAACAGGAGGTGACTGTATAAGAATAATCGATGTAGTAAACTCTCAGAACTATAAGCAGTTGGGGAAAAATGGTTGGTAGTTTATGGACAGAGCCATTTCTTGGGACTGAAGCAAACTCTTCAAGCTTTGCAGATCTGGGACCCAACTTTACCCTCAAAATGCCACTTTGGAACTCATTTTTAATATTTAGCATAATTTTGTAAAATGTAATGATAGTGCTGCTTAGAAGACCCACCTTAGGTCAAGTTGTGACCCATAGTGGGCCCAGCTTCATGAGCTGAAGACCAGTGAAAAGGACTAAAAATAAATGCTTATACAATCAACAAATTCTTCAACACAGGAACTAATTTTAGACTCACTGTGAAAACAAAGCATTCTCCAGTACCAAAGAAACTTGATGCTCCCCCACTTTTTTTCCTTTCATTCCAGTCAGAGGAGAGAAATGCTCCACACACCTAGATGGGGTAAGAAGGAAGGCATTTCATAATATAAAGCTACTAGAAAGCTAAGGAGCCAAGAAGCTAGTATTATCATAGAATTTATTTTCTGAATACTGATTGAAACAGCCAACAATGTTAAAGGGCTGTGCATAGAAAGAGACTCTGGTGCGATGTAACACAATATGGTACTATCACAATCTTGTAACCAGTGTGTTATGGCATCATAGGTAGATAAACTGGAGCAAATTAGGATTGGGGTATCAGGGTCGCATTTCATTGACAAAGAGTTCAAGATGCTCAGCTGTTCATCTTTATTAATTCATTTAAATTGTAGCCTGCCCTTCTAGGGCAACCAACAAAGTAGGGTGTGCACGTGTGTTCACACCTCCCCCCCCAAAGTTAAAATGTAATCACCAAAGAGCATACAACAACAGCACACTCCATGTGAACTGTATAGCACAGCATAAAACACAGGAGTCTTGGAAAATCAAGCATGTATTTTGTCCAGAACCTCCCCCACACACAAAAACCCTGATGTCAGACCACATGCCATGGGAACAGCATAAGTATATAAGGCACCACGATTGAAAAGGCCTCTTCATGAGCAACCCTTCCTTGCCTCAGGTGGTAGAGGTATCCAGAGGAGTTCCTAAGTCCTGGGGCAAGTGGATGGGAGAGCAGATCCTTCTTCAGATACCCAGCAATGCGAGGTTATCAGCACAAAAATAAAAATGTCCCTTTAATTTGGGGGGCAGGGTGTGGGGGCAACTTACAAGCCTCTGGTTGCTGGAAGGATGGCATGTGGACAGATCTGTAAATTGGGCTGAGCCTGCCAGCCCATGTTCTAAACACAACACTGCACTATAAAGATAGTGTTGAAGACTGTCATGCTAAACCTTTAACAAAACACCAGAAAGTCCCTCTGACACTTAACCATTGCAGCCAGGGTGCAGTGCCCCTTGCCCCAGCCCAGGCAGTGGCGGTAGTGAGGTGGAGTAGCCACGGGTGACATTTAGGCTTTTCCCCCAGAGCACTGCCTGACATTTCTTCACATCTTTTTCTGCTAGTCAAAAGACACTCTTTGTTTTTCAAGATTTCTAAATTCCTGTGTTGTGCTAGATCGTGCTTTATAGTTTTTAACATATTAAGTTCTGTTTTATGTTTCAGCATAAGTTTTATGCTGTTTAGTGGTTGTATTTTAACTTTTGATATATTGTGCATATACATGTGTGTGTGTTTCCTTAATTTGTGGGTTGCCCTAATAATACATGTTATTGAAGGGCAGGGTATAATATAAATAAAGAACAAAGATCATAAACTGCATGTCTTAAACTCTCTGTCAGTGAATACAAAACTTTGAACCATTTTGTCAGCATTCTTTAGCACAGAATTTTTGGCAGTCTTTTCTGTCCAGACTCCATATGGTCCTGCCTATGCAAATATCTTGTATAGTTTCTGAAAATATCAGCTATTTTCAGTCCCATCATACCACACAGAGGAAAGCCCCCATGCAGTTTTCATGGATGCTCGAAAAAGCACTTACTTCCCCCACTGTGGTTTTTAACAGCAGTACCGTTGGTTCGTAGCCTTCACAGCACGAATACAACCTGCAGAAAATGAAGAAGAAAATGGGATGAGCTGAGTCTGCCGGTAACGAACAAGAAAAGCATCCCATAACAGCAACAGAACTGGGGGGGGGGGGGGTGGAAGGGATTATTACTTGTCAACACAGCATGTTCCATGTTAGTGCATTACTAGTAAGCCTGTGGCATGGACAGGAGCAAGATGCTACTGTCGCCCATTGGATGAAATGTACCCCTCCAGTTAGCTTGCATGCTTCCACGTTGTCTCATGTCCATTTAATAATACTATGTGGGCACATACTAGAGAGACTTCCATTTCTCTACACTTTGGATGCTCGGATTCAAATTAATTGAAAGCGGTCTGATGAGTCCCCAGTCATGCCTTTCTTGGGATACCACCTTTTGCGTTAGCAGGACAGAGCTATTGGGTTGTGTGTATGATGTTGCCCGCAGAGGCAGATTCTTAAGTACAGGTAGGCCACAAAGTAGGCTTCTCACCTGTCACCCTGCTCCAGCGACCTTTCTTTCTCACAGAGCAGCACCTAGAATCTGTGAGCCATCTTCTCCTTTCCTTACATCTACATGTCCCATTTGGAATGGCATTAAATTGCCCACAAATGCTCATGCCACCTTTTGCTTTGCTTCATCTGGGACTCAGGAGGCTTTACTGCCTCTTCTCTGCCTGGTGTTGGGGAAGGTTTTTTTAGACTCAGGTAGGGTGGTCATTTATGCATTGTCAAAAGCAAGGAGGAAAAAAGGACATCCAATTTGCCTGACTTGTATGCACAAATTTATTATTTCTA